TGTTTGGGAATCCGGGGGGCGGATACTTAAGGTTGAGCGACGGCTGAGCTGACCAAGGAGCACTGTTTGCGAATCCGGGAGGCGGAGACTTAAGGTTGAGAGACGGCTGAGCTGACCAAGGAGCACTGTTTGGAAATACGGGGGGCGGAGACTTAAGGTTGAGCGACGGCTGAGCTGACCAAGGAGCACTGTTTGGGAATCTGGGGGGCAGAGACTTAAGGTTGAGCGACGGCTGAGCTGACCAAGGAGCACTGTTTGGGAATCCGGGAGGCGGAGACTTAAGGTTGAGAGACGGCTGAGCTGACCAAGGAGCACTGTTTGGGAATCTGGGGGGCGGAGACTTAAGGTTGAGCGACGGCTGAGCTGACCAAGGAGCACTGTTTGGGAATCTGGGGGGCGGAGACTTAAGGTTGAGCGACGGCTGAGCTGACCAAGGAGCACTGTTTGGGAATCCAGGGGGCGGAGACTTAAGGTTGAAAGACAGCTGAGCTGACCAAGGAGCACTGTTGGGAATCTGGGGGGCGGAGACTTAAGGTTGAGCGATGGCTGAGCTGACCAAGGAGCACTGTTTGGGAATCCGGGAGGCGGAGACTTACGGTTGAGAGACGGCTGAGCCGACCAAAGAGCACTGTTTGGGAATCTGCGGGGCGGAGACTTAAGGTTGAGCGACGGCTGAGCTGACCAAGGAGCACTGTTGGGAATCTGGGGGGCGGATACTTCAGGTGGTGCAGGGCAGTGAATGCTGATCTTTTTCAGGCACACTGAGCTGCTCTCTTGAGGCTGCCTCGAAGATCTCCGAAATGAATCGGGTGTCATTCTCCCATTGTCTTGATGAATGGCTCCTGGCTTCCTGATCTATGCTGATCTCTTTATCAAAGAATCAGTTGGCTGCACCTTTGCACTTTGTTTTGTTGTTCGCTTGGCTAGGCTGTGGATTTTCTAAATCTTCATGTTCTACTTCCGTTTTAATTATAATGTCATCCTTAAATCCTTCATCTCTTCCCACATTTTACTCCAGGCATTTAATAGAAGCTGTGTACCTTCAACGCTTTGCTTAGAAATTTATTCTACCAGATGTCCCAGCACATTCTCTTAAAGTCAGCCTCACATAAAGCCCGTGGTATGGACACAATTCAGCCAAGTTCTTTCCCACTTTAGAAAATAATCGCCCTTACTCCCGTTCCCATTACCTTGGTCCTCATTTCTGTCCAAGACGCCATCAGAATTGTCTTGACTATCCAGATTTATACCAATATTCCGATCATAGCTACTTACCTGACCTTTAGGAAGTCTTAGACTTTCCCTGTAGCTCTTCTTTCAAGTGCTCACCAGAACTGCCCTTAATGATCTGCTCATGGCAACACAGACGTTTTCTAACCTGCTTTTCCAGATTCTTTCAACTTCTTCCCATTATCTAGTTCCAAAGTCACTTCCAAATATTCAGGTGTTTGTCACAGTAACACCGTACTCTCTGATACCAATTCTAAGTCATTTCGTGTTGCTGTGACAAAGTACCATAGATAATTTATCATGAGCAAAAATTCACTGGCACACAGTTCTAGAGGCTGAGAATTCCAAGACTGACGGGCCAGCATCTTTCAGGGGCCTTCCTGCAGTATAAACCCATGGCAAAAGGGCGAGAGAGGACAGGAGGGAGCCAAGCGTGTCCTTTGATAAGGAATCCACTCCCACGATAAAGAGCTTGCTATCACAATGAGGAACTCACTTCCACAGTTACAATGTTAATCTATTCATTACCTTTCACAGTCTAATCACCTCTTAGAGCTCCTCTTCTTAATGCTACAATGGCAGCTAAACATCAGCGTGAGTTTCAAACCTTTTACAGTTTTGAAAAGGAAATTATTAAGAGGCAAAAGTAGAGCAAAGGCAATTTAAAATGTTTTTTGATTGGTTGACTGTGTTTTAATACTGTAAGTAACCTAACAGTCAGCCTTCTAAGAGAGAGAAATTTAGAGTTCTTCTAACCATATTTATTACAGAAATAACTTAAAATCATGTTTTGAAATCAAGAAACCACATTGAATAGGAAAACAAATTTGAGGATCAAAAGCTTCTGATATACAGAAATCCTACCAATACTCTAAAACCAGACTGTATTCTACATATCTGAGCTTAAGAACTGTCCCATAGGTTGTCATCAAAGGGAAAAAAATCTTCAAATAGCTCATTGGTATTTGTGTTTCAAACACTTGTAATTGAGAGAAATCTCTGAATAAAACATCGAATTGCAGTTTAGTAGCGGTATTACGATACAATAAGACTTTTTTGATATTGGAGAACATATTTCACACTGAAACTACGATGGTGGATCTGAGGTTTTCATAAAGTTTCAAATGCTAAAACTACACAAGATAGAAGTCAGTCTGAGTTGTAATAATAGTGTTACAGGGCTGGGTGTGGAGGCTCATGCCTGTAATCTCAGCATTTTGGGAGTCCAAGGCAGGCAGATCTCTTGATGCCAAGAGTTCGAGACCACTCTGCCACCGTGGTGAAACCCTGTCTCTACTAACTGTCTCACTCCACCCTTAGCTGCCCTCTCCTTGTTGGTCAGACTCCTCCAAACTCCTGCTCCTGTCTGCTTATATCTAGCTTTGTTAATTAAAAGGGAATGCCTGCTTAGAGATACCAAATGCTTTCTCATACACCATAACCTTAATATTCCTTACTCCAAAAATCCAGTTTGCCAACGGAAACAAGCACCTCCCTGTCCGCCTTGTAACCCCTACAGAGCAAAAAAGAGTCGTTCCATTAGTCCCCTTACTTGTAGGATTGGGGGTATCCACTGCAGCAATGGGAACAGGTAAAGTGGGTCTCACTATTTCCATCACCACATTCCGCAGTCTCTCTGACGGCTTCTCCGCCAGCAGTACAGATGTAACTCAATCACCTTCTGTCCTTCAAACCCATGTTAATTCCCTGAGGGCATGTTGTCCCTCAGAATCGCTGAGGCCTTGATCTACTGACTGGTGAAAAAGGAGGAGTCTGCCTCTTCCTAAATGAAGAACGCTGCTTTTATCTAAATCAATCCAGCCTTCGATATGAAGCCATCAAAACACTTAAACACAGGGCCCAAAAGCTCACTAATCAGGCAAATAATTATTCTGGACCTAGCCGGCCACTGTCTACCTGGATATCATGGCTACGCTCATTAGCAGGGCCCCTCACACCCATTTCTCTCCTTCCCTTATTTGGACCTTGCTTCTTCTGACTAGTCTCTCAGTTCCTACAAAACCATATCCAGGCTATCACTAATCCGTCAATGCAGGAAACGCTCCTCCTAACAAACCCACAGAATCAACCGCTGCCTCAAAACCTCTCGGCAGCTTTAGACTAAATCCTCTCCCAGTTTTAGACTTCCATGCCACCCTCAATCCCACTCAAAGAACGCCTGAGAAACATCGCCTGTCACCCCTCTGTACTGCCCCCAAAATATTCACTGATCCCCCCACTTTTTCCACTTTTTACTTTTTTCCTTTATATTATTCATATAAAAAGACAGGGATGCAAGGTTGTTTGAACTGGCTGCCCCATAGGCCATACCCTCATCGAGCCGTGGCGACCCCCATGACCAGCATGCACATGGCCTCCCAAAGCCAGAGAGTCTGATGTAACAGGAGAACCACAGAAAGAAGAATGGCTGCTCCTGCCCAGTACAATTAACCGACCTTGCGACATTCTGCCGTTGTTCCTGCCTCAACCGTGCCTGCCTGCACTGATAACCCCACCTCGTGACCCGGACCTTGTGACACCCAGCCCAGCTTGCAAAAGCTGCCCTGAACTGTAACTTGTGTAGCTTTCCACTGCCCACCCCAAACCTATAAAACCAACTTCTGCGGTGGCTCACGCCTGTAATCCCAGCACTTTGGGAGGCCGAGGTGGGTGGATCACGAGGTCAAGAGATCGAGACCATCCTGGTCAACATGGTGAAACCCCGTCTCTACTAAAAATACAAAAAATTAGCTGGGCATGGCGGCGCATGCCTGTAATCCCAGCTACTCAGGAGTCTGAGACAAGAGAATTGCTTGAACCCAGGAGGCGGAGGTTGCAGTGAGCCGAGATTGTGCCACTGCACTGCAGCCTGGCACCTGCTGACAGAGCAAGACTGTCTCAAAAAAAAAAAAAAAAAAACAACAACTTCTATCCCACTGCCCTCTGCTGACTCTCTTTTCAGACTCAGCACACTCGCACCAAATGAATAAACAACGCTGTTGCTTACACAAAGCCTGTTTAGGTGCTGTTTTCATTCAGGGCACACTTAACAAAAATACAGAAATTAGCTGGGCATGGTGGGCAGGCCTGGAAGCCCAACCTGGGAGGCTGAGGGACAATAATCACTTTAACCCGGGAGGCAGATGAGCTGTGATCATACAACTGCACTCCAGTTTGGACAACAGAGAGAGACTCTGTCACAAAAATTGAATCATGATAATCATAGTAATAATACAGACTCTGAATTTGGGGCAAATCATTTAACACTAGATTTAATTTAATTATCTGTAATAGGAGAGGTATGATCTCATGTTTTGGAAGTTCTCATGTCAGTTAAAAGTTTGATCTTGTTTCATAAATTAATTATAGTCACAACTATCAATTACCTTCTATAAATGCCTATTTTATGTCAAGTAATAAACATTTTTCCTCAATAAACATCATTGCTCTTTGTATGCAATACCTTAACATGCACAGCAGAAATCAATGCATTTCAGAGATTTGGAAACAAAGGTTCACGGAGCATAAGTTGCCCAATGTCACACAACTAGGAAATGCAGTGCTGGAATTCCAGCTGAGCCCTGTCTGTCTTCCTAACCTCATGCCAACTCAGTCATACATTCTGATTTTTAGCCAACTGGTGACAGATATTCAGTCCTTCAAGCCGCATGGTAAAGCTTAAAATTGCTCAACTTGCACATATTGGCATTTAAAAAGCTATTCGAACCATCACCATGAGTGATTTAATTTAAAAAGTTTCTATTACTTACAGATGTTCCAAAGATATGAGTCCTTTAAATGTTTGCTTATCTAACGCATGGATTTCATTCTTGTACAGGTACCTGGAAAATATATAGAATCTCGTTAAATTATAAAGTAGCAGACATCACCTGTCTTAGATACAAGCTTTTTAAACTGCAAGCTGTGAACCTTAGGAGCTTTATGGGATGTCCACAGATTCCCTAACCATATGTGGAAACTGTTATTTCATTTAAAAGTGTTCAATTGGTAAGAGTTCTAAGCCTCTTATCAAATTCTCAAATGGATCCTTGGTTCAAAATATTAAGAAACATGGAGCATTTGTGGAGAAATTCTGACCAATGTAGTCATATATACTGAGTAGCAACTTCTCTAAGAAAAATAAAAGTTTGACTATAAACAATTTTAAAAATTTATTTTGTGACACTGAATATATTCAACTGGTAGTTACAACGCTCACAAATACCACCATGGGATTCATCTTAAGGGAATGAAAACATCTTAGAGATGCATAAGATGAATTTTGATCCTCCTGTGGCTGCTGTCGAAAATCTCCAGGAAATAATACTATAAATGGATTTATAAATATGATGATACAACTAATCTTACCAAAGGGTTTGAAGAAAACACTTTATGTGACATATGAGCACTTTCTCCACTGTTTGTCTTCAACTATAGGTTGTTAAGGTGATTTCTTCTCTATGCTCTTCGTTAATGTCATGAATATGAAGCCCTGGATCTTTTCTACTTGTGCCTCTGAGGGTTTGAGACAATCAGAATTCCTGAAACCTTCTATCAAGTGTCTTTGGAATGTGCTCTTGCAAATTGTCAGTGCATCAGAATCGCCTGGTGGTGGTAAAAACGACAATTCCGAAATTCACCCACAAACCTACTCAACTGGACTCTCTCAGGATATTTTCTAGATTATTCAATTGCAGCTAATCTACAGTCCTGCCTTAAAGGCCATCAAAACCACAATTCTGGCTAAAAATGAAGAAGGGACTGGTTTTCTGTAATTTGCTGAGTGAAGCTTTGTGAAGTTCCAAACCACTTTTCCCCCAGTTTAGGACTCCAGTAAGTGCCTGAGAGTAGCAATGACTGGTGTGGATTTAAATCTAACTAGATACTTTTTTCCTCAGCATTAGTTGATACTGCAGAAGATTTTGCTTTTACTCCAAATCTCAAAAATATACCTACATGGTAGAATTTAAGAAATGCGATATTCTAGAACCATGTTTTTTCAAATTGGTTATAAGAAGCACTGAGAAGTGGTCTCAAAACCCACTAGTGGTTCTCAAGGGTGGATGTCTGCACACCAAAGTCCAGGTCCGTGACTCAGCAGTATTTGTAAGGCCTCGTTTGAGTTCTACCCAGGCCTCACAGTGACATCTGGGTCCCTGCCTCCACAAATTCTGATTTAATGACGGGTCCAGGGTACAGACTAGACATTGAGTCTTCGTAACTCCACCGGGGATGATAATATGCAGCAAGATTGAAAGTGACTGTCACTAGTACAGACCAGGTGGAAGTGTTTTGTAAATGTTCCCCGCTAGATTCAGAAATGCCCGCTGGTAAAGGCCCTTAGACTCTTAGAATGCTGAGAGCCACATGATTCAAGGGTCATGTGTTGAGGTATAAAGTTGACTTCTAGTGAGAGGCATATAAACACTATACTGGGTTTTTTTTATCATCATCAATTTTAAATAATGATGGATTATTTCATAAAGTACAATGAATAAAATAAATATTCATTAATAAAATATTCATGGAGGTGTTTCAAAACTTAAAGATTTCCCATAATATTTTATCTCAGATATACAGATACACTTTAGACTGTAATATTGTGGAAACTGGCTCAGGAATCGCCACACTGTCTCCCACAACGGTTGAACCAATTTACACTACCACCAACAGTGTAACTGCTCCAGGATCTAAAATCAGGAATGCCATTTGGCCCGGCAATCCCATCACTGGGTGTTTACCCAAAGGGTTATAAATCATTCTATTATAAAGATACATTCATAAGTATATTTACTGCAGCACTATTCACAATAGCAAAACTTGGAACCAACCCAAATGCCCATCAGTGACAGACTGGATAAAGAAAACGTGGCACATATACACCATGGAATACTATGCAGCCATAAAAAAGGATGAGTTCATGTTCTTTCCAGGGACATGGATGAAGCTGGAAACCATCATCCTCAGCAAACTAGCACAGGAACAGAAAGCCAAACACCACGTTCTCACTCATAAGTGGGAGCTGAACAGTGAAAACACACAGACACAGGGAGGGAAAATCACACACTGGGGCCTGTTGGGGAGGTGGGTACTAGGGGAGGGATAGCATTAGGAGAAATAGCTAATGTAGATGATGGGTCGATGGGTGCAGCAAACCACCATGGCACATGTATACCTATGTAACAAACCTGCACATTGTGCACATGTGTCCCAGAACTTACAGTTTAATTAGGAAGGAAGGAAGGAAGGGAGGGAGGGGGGGAGGGAGGGAGGAAGGAAGGGAAAGAAAGAAAGAAAAGAAGGACAGAAAGAGAAAGAAAAAGAAAAGAAAAAAGAAAGAAAGAAAGAAAGAAAAAGAAAGAAAGAAAGAAAGAAAGAAAGAAAGAAAGAAAGAAAGAAAGAAAGAAAGAAAGAAAGAAAGAAAGAAAATGGTGCAGGAAAAATAACCACAAAATAGCAGGAAAATAAGAGACTAGAACTTCTACAGTCAGATCTGTACAAACGGATTAAATCCATAATGTATGAATTCCAGACATGTTACTACCTATATTAATGTTATAGGACCAACAGGGTTGTACACTTGCTAAAAAAAAAAAAAAAAAAAAAAAAAAGACCAATACACTGAGATAGCAGTTTGCAGCAAATAAGAGTTTAATTATCAAAGGACAGCCAAATAAAGGGACAGAAAGGACCCTCAAATTCTTCTCCCCAGTGAGTTCTGGGCTGGGTTTTTTAATGCAATAGTGGAGATAACTGGGGTTGTTGACTGGCTGGAGTAAGGAGGATATCATATAAATACGGAAACCACATTCTTTGGTGAGTCAGCTCCTCATCAGTCCTTCAGAACTTATTGGTGTGCAGGACCTCAAAGGATATCTCAGATGGAAAACTTAACATTTCATAATTCTCAAGTTGTTATCTACAGAGCAGCTAAGGAGAACTGTAATCTAGTGGGTCTACATGATTCTAAGTCAATATGCACCAAACAGCTGTTAGGAAGGGGTCAAAGAACAGCTGTTTCATCATGAATGCTAATGTCCTGCAGGTTAGGGTTACTTTGTTTTTTCCCCCTGCCCCCTTCTCTCCTGATTAATTTTATAAAGTTTATAGGAACAGTTTCGTTAACACCAGTCACAGAGCTTCAAATTTCCTGTAGGATAATGGTACCCAGCTAAATCCGCACATCCATGAAAGAAACTCAACAAAGAAGAAAAATACATCATCCAGAACACAAACTATGACAGACCCAGAGAAAGAGATGTTAGCAACCTCAGTTTACATCTCTAGAGTACACTCTGCAGCAGAGTCAAGTGGGGATTTCACAGATGAAGGGGCTGTGGCAGAAGGGGTGGAGCAGCAAATGATGGGAGTACCACCCTGATGAGAACCTAAGATTGAGGAGATTAGGACCCTGGCTCATAAGGAATTGAAAGAAGGGGCTTGGAAAACGAATAGGAGAAGGCTCCTCGCTAGCACACGGTGACTTGTGGAGGATAGGTACTAACAGGAAAGAAGGAAGCAACAAGCCAAAGTCAAATAAATTAGTACCAAGATTTTAAAAATCAGGATTATTGTGTACCAAGATATTTACTGTAAGGAAAATTACCTATAAATACTAAAGAGAAATTAAGAAAAACAAATCTGATACTAAATTGAATAGAAATAGAAAACCTAGAAATAGAAATTTTGATCAAAATCAAAATCAAAAAGACATTTCTCAACTATTTCAGTTAGCTTATAAATGATAAGCTAGCTAGGAGCAAACTTAACCAAGGAAGTCAGAGACTTCTACAGTGAAAGATACAAAAAATTACCATAAGAAATTAAAGAGAATGCAAATGAATGAAAAGATTTTCCATGCTCATGGACTTGATGATTTAATATTGTTAAAATGTCAATGCCTTTGAAAGTGATCTAAAAATGTAATACAATCCCTATCAGATTTACAATGGCATTTGTTTTTTTGCAGAAATAGGGAATTCCATCCTAAACTCTATGTGACATTTCAAGAGGCCCTGAACAGTTAAAACAATCTTGAGAAAGAATAACGTAATTGAAGATTTTACACTTTCTGATTTCAGAGCTTATAACAAATGTATAGTGATCAAAACCACATGGTACTGGTATAGAAACCGATACACCGACCAGTATAAAGTCCAGAAATTAGCCCTCACACACGTGGTCAGATAATTATTTACAAGGTACCAAGAATACACAATGGGGAAAGGAAAATCTCTTGAAGAAATAGTGTTGGGAAAACTGGCTATCCACATGGAAAAGAATAAAACTGGAACCTGATATAATACCATACATAAAAATTAACTCAAAATGAAGCAAAGACCTACAACGGTTAGAAGGAAACATACAAAGAAATCTTCATGACCTTGGATTTGGTAATTTCTTAAATGTGACACCAAAAGCAAAGACAACAAAAGTAAAAGTAGATAATTTGGACTATACCAAGATTAAAAAGTTGGGTATATCAAAGAATACAGCCAACAGGATGAAAAGGCAATCTGCAGAATGAAAGAAAATATTTTCAAATCATCTATCTGATAAGGAGGGACTATCCAGAATATACAAAAAACTCCTACAACTCAACAACAAAAAATCCAGCTGGGCACAGTGGCTCACGCCTGTAATCCCAGCACTTTGGGAGGCCGAGACGGGTGGATCACGAGGTCAAGAGATCGAGACCATCCTGGTCAACATGGTGAAACCCCGTCTCTACTAAAAATACAAAAAATTAGCTGGGCATGGTGGCACGTGCCTGTAATCCCAGCTACTCAGGAGGCTGAGGCAGGAGAATTGCCTGAACCCAGGAGGCGGAGGTTGCGGTGAG